CCCCAAAACCCCAAAACCCCAAAACCCCAAAACCCCTTAAGAAAATACTCTTTTGAATTTTATTTAAAAGATTGGATTGATTATTGCCTCCGCAATATTGGTAGTGGCTTCATCTATCGTTAACTCTCCTGTATTTACAGTCAATAAGCACTGGTTGTATGCTGACTCTGCTGTTCCGACGTAGTCATCCCAATATTTCCTTCTGTTCTTGATAGCTGGTTCGTTGTCTTCCTCAAGTTTGATAATTCTATCGTACATATCTTCATCAATATCCTGGTCAAGAGTTCTGTCAATAATTTTTCCTGTCTGGGGGTCATATCTTCTTTCTTTAATTCTTCCCTCACATTTCTCAGGATCGCACTCAAGCAAGACAACCATTGATGGCTTAGCGTTGATAAATTTGAGAAGATTTATTTGTGCTAGAGACATTGGGAAACCATCAAGAATGTAGCCATTGAGTTTACAATCAGTTTTAGCGAGCCTTCTTTTAACAACTGGGATAATGAGGTCATCTCTCACGTTCTCTCCTTTGACAATACAGTCGTGAATTTCTTCCCCATGTTCTTTGTTATTCTTAATCTCAGCATCTAGCAATTCTTTTAGATTTATTAGCTGTAATCCGAAGCGCTTAGAGATGATCTGGCTTTGATAGGTCTTTCCACATCCAGGAGGTCCAAGGACAATAATTCTTGGAAGCCTGTATGGGTTGTCTATCCTTATTTGAATCATCTCAGAGATTTCATTGCATAAATCATCCTTATTTTGGTTGGCATTGTACTCCTGGATCAATTGAGCCTCTTTAAATAGCTCTTTCACGGCTTTAATGTGGTAATAATACTCGTCAATAGCATTATTCGCGACTCTTTCAAGTTCTGGCCCATATAACCCAGTCGCATTTGAAATAAGATTATTTTTGACCTTCAACTGTGAAGTAGGTTTCTTAATATTCAAAACTACAATTCTTGTTGGGATAATACCAATTTTCTGTAGAGAGACTACTTGTGTGGCAGTTCTTGGGAATCCTTCCAAGATCCAGTTGCTGCCATCTTTCTCAAGCTTGGATAGCTCTTTCTTGACCATTTCGATAATTGTCTCATCATCGATATATTGATAACTTTCTCTGCTTTGTTGTATTTTTCTTCCTTCTTCAGTCTCTTTGCCAGCATCTGCCTTGATTTTGTCTGTGATCAATTTGCCAACGCTAATACATGGCCATGAGAAATGTTCCGAAAGAGAAGTAGCGATTTCCTTTCTATTACTTCCTGGAGGGCCAACTACAAAGACTCTTGTTGCTGGCTTGGGTTTTTCTAACTTCTCAATGAGAAAATCAAGAGGTTTCTCAGGTCTATGGATTATCAATTCCTTGAGTAAGTTCTTAAAAGTATTCATTGAGTCTCTTGTCTTCGTAATACTCTTCAATTTTGACCTCTTCTTCGTATTTCTTGATTTGCTCCATTCAAATTTATTTTAAAAATATTATAATTTAGACTATGCAAGTTATTTTATTTTAAATGGGGTTTTGGGGTTTTGGGGTTTTGGGGTTTTGGGG